AGTGCCGTAGCTGAACCCTTAAAGCCCCCTAGCCCATATCAACATTTTGTACTCAGCCCACTTCCCGAACCAAGGTTTCGAGGCTTCGCTACGAAGATCACAGATCGGCTGCGAGATCTTGCTGGGACCAAGCACTGCAATGAGCTTGTATCTCGTTACAACATAGAACCGATTCTGGTGAAACCCCCTATAGGCCCCAAGCCCTAAGCCCCAGATAATATCTGTCGTCGCCTCTACCTAAGGTGGACAGCTTGAAGGCCTTCCGGGGTGAGCTGCCCTCTGACATCAAAAACATGGAGAAAACTTTCGAGAAGTCCAAGGCCTCAGAGCTACAGGGCCCCTACGATGAGTTTTGCCAAAAGGCTAGCTTAATCGACGATGATCTTAGGGAGGCCCTTCGACGAAAGCCGAAGAAGGCCAAAACCGATGCTAGTGTTAAGAAAGCAGCACAGGCCAAAGCGCCCCCGTCCTAGGTCGTCGACCGAAGGTAGATGCTGTAACCTGGGATTTGCAAGTGGCTGCTAGTCAGAATCCGGACTTACTTAAACCCTCGATTGGTGCAACGGTCGTTAACTATGTAAGGTTTCGGATGGGGCGGCTTGAGGCTATGAGGTTAAGGCTTGGGAATCAGGAGTTGGAAATCGAATAGCATCTTCTTGTCAGCGAATATAGTTCGTGCACTAGCGATACGAATGCGATCAATCCTCCGTTTTTTTTTATGTGGGCTAAGGTTGGCTATAAGTGCGACTTTACCAATCTTTAGGGGTTCTACGGGGGCTTTAGGGAAATCTCGGGCTATGTAAGGGCTTAGACCTCTACCGCAAGCTTGGGGTTTGCCACTTTGCAATTCCGGGCCCTGGTGTGCGATCATCCGCACGCAGCAAGTTTCTTTAATTGGTGGTCAGACCGGCTGCTTTGCTGGGGACAAAGTCAAAGCTTAGACCCGTCGGGACCTCGATCGATGCGAGTTCAGTGCGACAGCTTCCAAAAGAGTTCGATCTTTCAGTGATCACGCGGTGGCTGCTGTCTTACGACGCATGACTTTTCTCGATTCAGTCAATCGACAGGTTCTGTGAAATTTGCAACGAGGCCCAATTTTATAGGATCAAGCAGACCTTACCACAATTTAGGGTTTAGGGTTTCAATGCCTATAGTCCAGACCCCTTAGACCCCTTAAACGGTTGCTAGTGATGCTCATGATGCGAATTTGCTTAATGCACCGCCCCCCTAAACCCTAAACCCTAAACCCTAAACCCTAAACCCTAAACCCTAACCCTAAACCCTAAACCCTAAACCCTAAACTGTTCAGAATATCCCAGGCCTTCCCGGATCCACACACCCGAAATTCCCTAAACCTCAAACTTCTAGTGGACATGCTGTGCCCCGTGTGCGATAGCCATGGCCACCCCTTCCAAATGCAACAAGGCCCGAGAAAATGTAGGTGCCCGCCATCGACGCATACCTCAGAAGCTCAGGCTGGCGAGGTCTACGGGATGATGGAGGAGTTCCTGGAATTATCCAGAAGAGTATCTGTGAAAACAATCCGAGATTTTGTTCAAGCCGTGCATAAGCGGATACCACCTCTTTTCTTGGAGAACCCCAGCTGCACGCATCAGTGCTATGATCTATCGTGGCCCAAGCCAAGACCCTGTAAGGAAAGAGTTTGTGGATTTGGCCGAATGCACCGCCAATAGTGACAATGTGCAGCGCAATTTTCGTAGCTGGCTACGACGTCAACGATGGATGAAAGCATTGCCGCCACCAACAACGAGTCCTGTCACATTATGGTGATCATAGGTCGTATCTGCAAAATAGAATAACTTAGGATCCTGGTCAACCAAGCCCCTGATCTGAATTGGCAGTTGAGACGTAGAAGTTGTGGTTAGATTTTAGACACACTGTCCAGGTAGATCCTAAGCTGAGCGAGCCGAATTTTGTGGGCCCGCACTCCATCTTCTTGATTCCGGATTGGCAACTCAGCTGCATTGGTTTCAGGGTTTGACAGGTTTGTGCCAAGCCTCATAGAGTCGCCGAGGCTGAATACTTTATATTCTTTTGACATCGAGCTATTCCAATCGCTCCTGCTGGGCCCTGACCCTGACACAAGTCTCTCGGAGTATTGGGAGGCCAATCGCACGACGACGTGGTTCAAGGAACACCCCCTCCTTTCGAAGCTGTCAAAGGGAGAACTGAACTTCATCATCCCACTCGAATGTCATGGAGATGATGCCGAGATGCATAAGCGCAGGTCGTTTGCCATATGCACAGTAGCCTCGGCACTGCTGGGTCCAAGTATAGCTACTTGGGATCACAAGTTGTTGTTGAGTTGCTTCGACAACAGCACTGCAGGCGAATCTACTGCAACAGAAATAGATTGTTGGATTTGTTGGGGATTGGTGTGTGCTGCGGCTGGTGCATACCTTGATCACGACTGGTACGGTCGGCCTTTCAGTCCCGACTATATGCCTGCTCTTTATGCCAAAGCTGGGAAGCAAATCGCGGGATCTTTCCGGTTCGTGTTCGCTGGTCACAAGGGGGACCAAAAGTACCTTCATGCTTGCTACAAATTTGAGAACTACTGGACGAGTGGAGAGGTCTGTCGTGCATGTGCAGCTTCTGATTTGCATATGGCGGTCTATTCAGGATACTCTATAGAGTTTGTGCTGTGTGAGTCGATACACCCAGGCTCAAAAGGATGGCTCTTCTGGTTTCGGCTACGTTCACTTCGGACCCGGAGCTCAACATCGATCAACGCGACCCGGCTACAACTGCGATTGCTCTAGGCTATCGGCTCGATTATCGACGCAAGCATGCATGTGCAACCTAAGATAATCTAAGGTTATACTCTACAGCCCAATTCATCCAAAAGTGCGGCAACATACCATGGGTCGCCATTCCAGGCTTCGCCGTAGAACGAATATGGGACGATTGGCTTCACATTGTTGACTTGGCAATTGCTCCTGATGCTTGTGCATCGGACGGGAGCTCAGTTCCGCTTCTTATGACTTAAATCGACAAATATCGGGGTTCGGATCGATTCGATGTTCCTGAGGCACTACTAGAGTTGACGAAGTCGGCCAACAGCCCCTGGCCAGCAAGAAACCAAGAGCTGCGACTGGAGCTTGCTTACCAGGAGTTTGCACAAGCTTGCAAACGTGAGGGCATCAGTGACTTGATGGCAATATAAAGCACCTCAGCCTGCAAACCCTAAACCCTAAACTGCAGCGCACCAATTCCCTAAACCCTAAACCCTAAACCCTAAACCCTAAACCCTAAACCCTAAACCCAAGCCCCTAAACCAAAATGAATTCTTGACTAACTTAGGAAACCGAGCGCCACCTTTCTCTTTGAAAACTCTGAAATCATCGACGCCGGGAGTGTTTCCTACGTTGTCTCAGAAGCATCTCAGTGGTGCGGACTGCTGCTTAGTGGTCGATGCTGGCTATTGTTGCCTACAGTTGCAGCCTTCAGTCTCAAACTCAACCAAGGAGTCTGTAGTGATGGTCAGGTGGCTTCGCTCCGTCACGGTGGTGTTCTCGCGAACAAATCCTGATCGTTATTGGTTGACGATTGGCTTTACACATTGTTTGAAATTGAGGTGTGGGGTGCTTTCGTTTGACTTAGGAACATGGCGGCGGTCTTCACTAATCTGGCAGGGATGAGAGAGGAGATGTCGGGTTACGATTCCGCCCTCCCGGCTGAAGTGATTCGAAAGATGAAGGCCCATTATGTTTTATTTCGTGCGAGCTACAACTGTGATTTGGTCGCATGTTCATAAGACTTCGGCTGAATCCATAAGCCTCCGAATCTCAAATCCTTTCATTCAACCAAGATTGCGCATCCGATGCATCGAGCCGCTCAAAGTTGTTGTTCAAGCTTCGTCCGAAGCTCCACGGGCTACTTGGCTAAATTCCATGTTCAGCCAAAGGTCGACATCATTTCGTCCGTCGACCATCCAGCTCATCCATGGGCGATGCCATGCTATGGAACACAGGAATTTCGTTTCTGAATGGGGCTTGGTCTTAAAGTAATAGACTCTAAGTTTCTCCTTAAACTTCTGAGGTTAGAGCACTTGATTTACGAGCAGACAGCTGTTACATGCCCACTCCGTACCTCTACATATGGTGATGAGGATATGGCCGCTTTTTGGCAGTGATGGTCGTTTTGATGCATATGATCGCATATATCGCTAGTTTGTCACATCCAAGGTCGGCAGAGTGAAGATGACGGCTGCCTTATGCCATCCACAAAGTCTGGGTTTGCAGGTGCTATATCGCTATGCTGCTTATGTCGGTGCTCGATGGCACAGAAAATCACTTTCAAATGAATGGTAAAGGCCATTCGGAGAGCGGAGGTTGTGCAGCGCAGCAAAATGTCAACCGGAGTCGACCTCAATGAGATCCCTAAGACAGTCGATCAGAGCCCCAACATCCCTTCTTAACGCTTATAGATTACAAGAGCCAACCGAATACGTTACTTCATTATCCCTGGGGCAGAAGGCGTTAAACCGATGCTCCTGGTACACACTTTACACACCTACATATACATGTGCACGCACATACGCAGACATAACTATTAGCACATGTATGTTCACAGGCATGGGCATGTATGTGCGTAACTGTGCGTATATGTTGCGTGCATATGTCATAATAGACATGTGCATATATATATATATACACATACATACATACATACATACATACATACATACATACATACAAACATACATATCATTGCGTATGTCTTTATACATAAACAGATTTGTGTGACTGTGTGCATATGTTTGAATGCGTGTACACCAATGTATCCTTATGTCCACAGATGTATGTATCTGTAGATAGACAGATAGACATGATAGATAGATAGATAGATAGATAGATAGATAGATAGGTAGATAGATAGATAGATAGATAGATAGATAGACGGAGAGATAGATAGATAACTGACCACAAACCATATATATATATATATATTCCAAATTACAAGCCCGCTGATTGCAGGTGAATGCCACGGACGACAGCTCTGGTGCACCGGTGACAGCCAACGGGCAGCTAAAGCCGAAGCCAATGCCAGAAGGCCATTCTGAAGGGATCCCGAAAGAAATCCTAAACCCTAAACCCCAAACCCTAAACCCTAAACCCTAAACCCAAACCCGTAAACACTGAACCCTAAACCCCAAACCCCCAAGGAACCCTTAAACGACTCTGGGCTTCGGCGGTTTGCTGGTTTTGTTGGCTTTAAGGGTTTAGGGCTTTCTGGTTTACGGATTTCGGAATTCTTACTAATGTTTCAGCATCTGAAATTTCAGCGTTTCTGGCTTAGGGCTCTTAGGATGCAGGGGTTATGATTTTGGGATTTGCGGTTTTGCGGTGTTGGGGCTTTGTGTTTTGAGGTTTAGGGCTTAGGCCTTGTGGACTTTTGGATTTGGGTTTTTGCTTTAGGCGTTGTGCCAAAAGAATGATTCGAGAGTTTATGGCTAAGGGCTGCTTGGGGGGTCCCCTCCTCATGTCTTGTGGATGGCTTATGGATGCTTCAGCAAACTGATAAAGCCGGGATGATGGCTTTAAGGATGGTCAGATGACTTAGTATATCTATGTACATCTATATCTGCAACAAGTAATTGGTTGTTTGTGGTTTAGCTTTCGGCATTTGGGGCTGTAGGGTTCTAGCTTTAGGTTTGTGTGTAGAGTTCACTCTAACTTGGGATATTCATTCTGCTCACTCTTGTTTAGCTTCAGGTTACCTGGCTGACGGGTTTGGTTTAGGGCCTCGGGCACCAGCCATACATATAGTGAACAGCAGGAGCAGCAGCAGCAAGCAACGGCAACTACCAGCTGTGACAGAAGGAGCAAGAGAAGCAAGAGCAAGGACAACATCACCGCCACAACCGTTTGCATTAAATTCCTAAACTCGCAAACCACAACACCCTAAAACCATCCCCAAACCCTAAGCCCTTATAAACCAAACTAGACCCTTCCAAGACCCCTCAAAAGAAGCCTAAACTCTGAAGACTTTGCCGGTCAGGGCTTTGGAAGATCGTGACATGGTCCCACAAGGAGCAGGTGAAAGCCCGGCAGGCTGGGTTTAGGGTTTGGGGTTTAGGCTTTAGGGGCCGTTCGGGATTTTAGGAGGGATTTTGAGGGTTCAGGGTTTAGGGTTTAAGGTGTTTGATTCAGAGTTTACTTCAATACACTCAGAAAATCATAGCACGCGCCCCAGAAAGGTAGGGTATGGGGGATGGTTAAGGCAAGGTTTTTGGATGGGGATGTAGAATTTGGGCCTTTGGATTTCGGGTTTAGGATTAAGCCCTAAACCCCTAAACCCCTAAACCCTAAACCCCTAAACCCTAAGCCGTAAACCGTAAGCCAAACCATAAGCCCTAGCCTAAAGCCTTCCAGCCCTAAACCCTAAAGCCTAAAGCCCTAAAGCCCAAAGCCTAAAGCCTAAAGCCTAAAGCCTAAAGCCTAAAGCCTAAAGCCTAAAGCCTAAAGCCTAAAGCCTAAAGCCAAAGCCTTAAGACCCTCAACCCTAAGCCCTTTAGTAATTTGGCGACGTGGCTTCGTGCTGAAAGGGCTATGTAGTCATACGGATTCAAGATCGTCGTCGTCCCTATAGGCTCTAAGCTCAAGCCCTATGCCCGAAGCCTTGCACTCAGGATTACAAGACCTCATCTAGATATCGCCCAGCCGAGAGCCCTTGTAGCTGCCTCGGGCTTCTCGCTCCTTATGGAAGCATTTTAGCACCATGAACCCCTGACTACTCTAAAGACCAAGCCCGAAGTACTCCGCGACCCCAGCAAGGCACTGCCAAAGATCTCAAAACTGCTACTGTTCTTGTGCTGAGCCCGAACCTTCAAATCGAAAGCAGGTAAGGCACGAATCTTAGGGGCTGAGTAGGTAACCTTTAACCTTTTGGGGCTTATATAACCCTACCTATAATTCAAAAGGTTCACCTTTTTTGGGCTCGGGTACTCAGCCCCTAAGGAATAGTCTTGCGAACCCTCCCCTCGAGGCAGCAGCCAGCGCGATGCAGTTCGACCTTCTCCTCATTTTGACCAAGCCGGTGCGACACCTAAATGGGTTTAGGGTTTAGGGTTTAAACCCTTTAAACCCTAGACTGCGACTTTCAGGTGCCTTATCAACCCAAAAAGCTCAAGGTGCGACGTTAGGGTTGAGTGTTTCGGCTTTCTATGTAAACATCAGTCCGCACACTGTAAATTACGGCAGGTTAGGATTTGCGGTTTACGTAACCCAAAAGAATATTATTGCTTTGTCAGCAAACCTTCGATCCCACAGTATACTTATCTTTATAGCCACTCACGTGGAGTCTTCAGATCAGCACTTAGCCCTCTACGGTGTAGCTAAAACTGAGCCCGAAACCCTAAACCCTAAATCCGTGTAGCTAAAACTGAGCCCGAAACCCTAAACCCTAAATCCGTGAACCCTAGACCCTAAAACCCTAAACCATCAGCCGGAAACCCTCAACCCGAAGCCGCGTTCGCGTGGCAACGTTAATCCTTCAGAGAAGCAGTCTGTGTGGTTCAAGGGTTTAGGGTTTAGTTTTTGTTTTGAGGGTTTAGGGTTTAGGAGTTCAGTTTAGCTTCGGCTGCAGCTGAAACCTCAAAATCATTACGGCATACAGCCTCAAATCCTAAACCCTCTAGGCATGTACATGATTGTACATGCATATACACATGCAAATGTCCGCGTTCTACCGCCCCATCTATGCGTAGATCTACGTTTATTCAGCCATCCTGGGTGTTACGAAAATTTGTTGTTGCGGCAATGTGGCTTGTCTGCTGCTTAGGTCATCCCGCTGATCATGCTTGTGGCCACAGGGCAGGTTCCGGCCCAAGCAGTGCCTTCGAGGTCTTTCTTCTATGGCGAAGCAGCAACTTCTGGAGCCAGAACTTAAGGGCTCAAGGGTCTTAGTAGGTAAGTACAGGGTTATATTTCGGGGTATAAGTGCCCTAAGATGGCCCTAAGTAGGGTTATCCCGCTTGTAATTGTAACCTTATAACCTTACTTACTAAGTTACTATGTCCCATGAGGCTTTAAGAATGCTAGAGACCGGGGCTTTGTGCTTCGCGGGTTTAGGGATCTGTAATTCTAAGACGATGCTCTGTGGGTTTAGGGTTTAGGGTTTAGGCTGCAAGAACCAAGTCTAGGACATTTTCAGGTGGGGAGTTACCATTATAGGAGCCTTATAGAAGGTCTATATACCTTACAGAAGCCTTATAGAAGCCCTATATACCCTAAGCTTCCCA